CTTATGCAAAGCGCATTTAATCCATCTCTAAGTATTATTAAAGTCCGAACAGTTTCAGCATTGCTGAAAAGTCCAAGTCCAATGTCTCCTTTGAGCTTTAAGGCAAACTTTTAGCTGTGAGCTCCTATACAAGTGAAAAGAAAGTTGAACACGTCAAGTATTCAGTAGCAGCAGATTAACTTTTTTTTTTTTTTTTTGCAGAACTAGGGATCAAACTCAGGTCCCTGCGCTTGCCAGACAAGCGCTTATTCCATTGAGCCATCTCCCTGGCCCCTAGATCAATATTTTCATTCCAAAAATTAAGTTCAGAATCCAGCAGGGCAAACATTAACTCCTGTGCTCCATGGGCAGCATTCAAGGCAATCTGTGGCAAGATGTAAACTCCAAAGGACTTGGGTGGCTCCACCCCAGTGGCGCTTCCAGTGGTCGTGTCTCCCATGGCTTTTCTCTTAGACTGTCTTGACCCCCTTCCTTGCAGTTTTCCTTAGATGATCCACATTCCTGTCTTCTCCAAACTTGTGGGGTCTCCACTACACTTTTGGCTTCACACACTGCCCTCTCAGGGGCTTCATCTGAAATCTGGGTGGAAGCCTTTCTGACCCCACAACTCTTTTATTCTGCATGTATCTAAAACCAGAGTGCCATGGATGATGCCAAGCTCTGCTGCCAGCTGGAGCAGTAGCCAGCTTTCCTCTTGGCTGTAAAGGTCCAGTGCCTGGAACGCTGGGCACTGTGAATCCAAGTCTGAGGAAAAAAATGTCTATACTTCCACCACTCCAGAACATGGTGCTTTGCAGCTTCTCAGGGCAGTTTTTCACTTTTGCAATTTTGAAGCTGCAAAGAGTGGAGTCCTGCTGCTTTTTTTGTGATGCCCTCAGGCAATCTTCTGTCAGCAATCAAGATCTCCTCTACTTTATCTTTGCAGTCACAGCTTTACTGGAGCCTTCTTTCTGGCCAGCCTCACATGTTTTAAATCATTGTGCTGGCCTCTCTGTTCTTGATTCTCAACCTAAAAACCCCGAAAGCAACCATGCCACAACCTCAACATTAGACTACCTTGAAATTTCTTCTGCAAGATTAACTAGTCTACCATTCTTAAACTTAGTCTCAGGCAAAGTCTCCAGACACAAGCAAAATGCAGACAAACTTTCTGTCAAACTATTATGCACATCATCTGGCATCTACCAGCCAGTGCAGTCCTTTTACCCAGCAGAAACCTCCTGAGTCTGATCTTTATTGGCTTCCTGGTCTTCTGAGCTCTGACCGGAACCATACAACTAAGGCATTCCAGCACTACTTTTTCAGCCAGCATCTCCAGTCCTTTCCAAGCTCTTTTCACAAGTGAGTTGCAGAAGCTCCTCAACCACTTGGTCAGGTATAGTCACAGCAACAATGCCACTACTCTGGTACCAGGTTTTGTCTTAGCTACTTTTTTCTCTTTACTGAGACAAAATAGCTGACATCCAAAGTTAAGGGAGTTTAGCTCACAGCTTGTAGAGGTTTCAGTCCATAATTGGCTGGCTCCAAGGCCAGGTGGCACATGGTAGGGGCAACAGTTCACGGCAGCGGAAGACAGAAAAAGCAGCAAGGCAAGGGTGACCCAGCGCTTTCTTTATTTTTTATTTTTTAAGTTTTGAAGCAGGGTCTCATTAAGTAGTTCATCTGGGTTCAAATGTATGATCCTTCTTCCACAGTCTTCTAGTATACTGGAATTACAGGCATGCATCACTATGCCTGGCTAAATTTTAACTTTTCTTTTTCCATTTTTATTACTATGTTGAGGCAGAATCTCACTGTGTAGCCCACACAGGCCTTTAACTGACAGTGATCCACCTACCTCAGCCCCCAAAGCTCTGGGATTATAGGCACGTACCACCATGCCTGGCTAAATTTTAACTTTTTTTTTCTTCCATATTTGAGATTTCATTGGTTGTGTTGAGGATCAACACACACAATTCATTTTGTACACAATTCTTAAACACACATACCAAGAACCCAAAAAGCCATATATTGTTTTTTAGCTACTCCAGTGACTTTCCACCTTCAAATTTAGAGGCAAGTTTTTGGTAAGAGGATTAAGTACCAGTATTGTCAAACGCTGATAAAGTGTTACTTAAGTCCCACCAATTCAGAATTTTGTGTCACATATACTACATACTCAAATTTTCAGTCTCTCACAGCACATTAACAAAATTAGGCAAACTGGACTACTAGGACCAAAGATGTTACAGAGTGCACATGGTTCTGACAAGACAACAGTCAGGAAGTAGTTCTCTTAAACAATTCTAGTAAAAATAACATGGGAACAGAAGTCATTTAAAATATCCAAGACATAGTAAATGTATGACTGTGATTCCAAATTGCAGGATATAAAGCTAAGCCCCCATGGAATGTTAAGCTGATACCCAAGACAGTCAAAGCTTGCCATAATTCAATATCCCACTATTTTCTGATTATATCAAAAAGTAAGCCAGTAAATGATTTAACTTCTAAAAAAATCATTTACACTTAAGAAATGCAATGAGGTGGGATTCCTTTTTTTTTTTTTTTAAGGAAATACAAGCTGGTGCAGCCATGATATACTTTCTTTTTATTTATTTTTTAAAATTGTATTTATTTGTGTGTGTGTGTGTGTGTGTGTGTGGCCAGCTCAGCCCACCAGGGGGCGGGGCTGGCTGGCACGTGGTGCTGGGGGATTGAACTGCGGTCCCTGTGCTTTGCTAAGCTTGTTCTAAGTAGGTGCTTTAGACCACTGAGCCATCTCACCAGCCCCTGGGATTCCTTTTTAAAAATGTTCCTAGAGCAACTGAACTTGCATTTACAAAATAGTTGATAAAAATATTCTTCTGGATTGTTCACGAAGGGAAACAGGAAGCACTGATAAAACATGGTGTGTGATTAATCAGTTTTGGGTTTTTTTGCGGTACGAGGGGCCAAACTAGGGACCTTGCGCTTGCCAGGCAGGCACTTATGCCGCTGAGCTATTGCCCTGGCATGGTGCATGACTAATCAGACTTGCCTTCTTTTCTTCTGCTTTCTCAGGGCTGTGCTCTCCTTTTTTTTAGTTTCTCCATTTTCCACAGATAAATCTTTGGTCTCTTGATTGGCCACTTACGCCTGTTTTTCCTTGGCTCCCCTTTTCCGTTTTGCTTGCACTTTTTTGTCCAAAGATTTATCCTTTCCTGCTGCCTCTTTTGGCTTGTTTCCACTTTTGCAGGAGCAGGTTTAGCTGACAGTCATGCCGATCTCCTCTTGGGCTCCTCTTTCACCACCCCTTCAAGCTGACCTCCCTCTTGGGCATCCTGGTTGGCACACGGAGCCTTAGGGAGCTATGTTGCTTGGCCGCTGCTGCTTCTCCCTTTAACTCTTAATTTTTAGATTTGCAAAAATAGTGCATAGAGTTCCTCTTTGCCATTCTCTTAGTTTCTTCCATCACCTGCTTAACATTCTTTATCACCAAAGTGCAATAACCTAAACCAGAAGATTAACATTGGTTGATTACTATTAACTAAAGTACAGACCTAATTAGAAGTTTGACACTTCCCCTCTTCTGTCTTTTTTTTCTGCTATAATATCCAAGCTTTGATCTCATTTTGCATTTAGTTGTGTTTCAGTCTCTTCCAATGTAGGATGCTTCATCAGACTTAATGTTTTTATGAGTGCTGGCTGGTTACTTTGACTCAGTTTGGGTTTGCCTGATGTTTTCTGATAATAAGATTGAGTTTATGCTTTTTTGGCAGGGGTACTACATTTTTTTGGTACAAGGACCACAATAATGTTCTTGTCTCCATCTCAGTGACTCATCTTAGGAGGTACTTGATATTATTGTGGTTAACATATTAATGATGTTAATTTGGGTCACATGCTTAAGGTATGTTAGGCTTATTTATGTAAAATTAATATTATTTTTTGTAGTACTGGGGATTGAACCCAGGGCCTTGTGCATGCTGTCTAAGTAAAAGCTTTGCCCCGAGCTACATTTCCAGCCCTGTAAAATTATTATTTTTCTCTATTCAGACATTTTCCCTTTGTATTTTGCTCACTAATTTTATTATCCTTTGGTGATAATTGCCTTTTAGTTATTATTGCAAGTCTATCAATTGATGGTTTTCTGTTCCACCAAATATAAATTTTTCCATTTATGTTTGATGCTTAGAATGCTATATAAGAAGTCTCTTTTCTACTTACTTAGCTATTTATAACACAGTATACATTTTAAGCATAAAGTCCATTATAAGCCAAACATGGTGGTGCATACTTGTAATCGTAGGACTCAGGGGGCTGAGGGAGGAGAGTCCCCTTAAGTTTGAGGCCAGCCTGGGCTACATAACAAGTATAAAACCAGCTTGGGCTACATGGCAAGACCCTGTCTAAAAAAAAAAAATCCAAAAGGTAAATAAAAACCATCATTTTAGGTTCACAAGGCTTGCAACTAAAAATACACATTGCTGTGTAGAAAAATTATTACAAATGTAACATACACCAAACAGTGTCTGAGAGTATCCATTTCCTCACTCTGGGCGTTTATCACCAGCTTTTGGAATAGAAGAGAATATACATAAGTGAAACACTTTTTTAGGGGGAATGGAAGTTACAAGGAGGTAGAAAGTTTACAGTTTAACATAGAACTTTCTTACAGTGAGTGCTGCCCCACAATGGAAAAGGGGCTTTGTGTAGAAGAGTTCCTTGTTCTTGGTAATGTTCGAATCCATACTTAAAAGCCCCTTATTGAGGCAAAAGAGATGAAATTCTGAGGTCTTTCTCGGTCCTGGGAGTGTGTAACATCTTAGTTGTTCTTTTAGACAGGGTGTCCCTATGTAGTAAAGACTGGCTTTGAACTCACTAAGCCAGGCTGGCCTTGAGTTTGTGGCAATCTTCCTGCCTCAGCCTCCCAGGTGCTGGGATTATAGGCACATGCCTCCATACCTGGCTGTAACATTTTAGTTTTTGACCATCTGTTGATGTCTCTGAGGTCTGAATTTGGATGTCTTACTTTTCAGTGGTCGAAGGCCTTTCACTATTGGACTTGGGGGTATCTCCGTATTCTGGAGCAGTATTTCATGAAGTAAGTGTTCTTGATTTCTTTTCTGGCTACTAAGAGTAGTTAATAGTCACAGATACCAAAGCCTAACCTCAGTTTTGTTTTGTTTTTTCCTAACCTCAGTTTTTGAACAAACATTTAAAAAGGTCTAGTTTTGAAAAACACATTTAGAAAAAGCCCTTTTTAGATGTCCTCTGTGTAAGAATGAGGTTTCACAATTACAGTGGAAATGATCCAGGATAACATTGTAACTTGGGAAACAGATGTGGTTCTGCAGAAGTATTTTTTAAAGACAAATAAGTTATAACAGTTCCCCAATGCATGAATAGGTTGTCTGCTAAATGGCTTGTAATTGGCTTATTGAAACTTGCTTTCTTGTGAAAACCGTACAGCAATGTTGGTTTCATAGAAAGTCCGTCCACCAAAGATTTAAGCCATAAAATTAGACTACCATGGCAAATAGACAATTCTACAATCCTAGTCAGAGATTTCAGTACCTCTTTTTCAGTGGCTGATAGAACAAGCAGGTAGGAAATCAGTGAAGATATGGGAGAGTTGAACAATGCTGTTAAACAGTTCAATTGAAGAATACTTCTTCAACAATAGAAAAATGCATATTTTCAAGTACATGTGGAACATTTGCAAGACAGACCATATTCTGGCCCATAAGACAAGGCTGTGTACCTTTAAAAGGATTCAAGTCATGTAGCGTATGTTTTCTGTCAACAATGGAATTAAATAAAAAATAACAGATATCTGGAAAATCCCCAAATATTTGCAAACTACTTAAGTAGCATAATCTTAACTCCTGGATCAAATCAATTAGAAAGGAAGTTAGCATTTTTAAAGCAATGAAAATGAAAACATAACCTATTGAAATATGTGGGATGTTAGTTACTAAAGCAGCACTGAGGGAGAAATGGATAGTATTAAATGTCTCTGTCAGACAATAAGAGTTCTCAGATCAGCGATTACAATTTCTGCATTAAGAAAGCAGGAAAAGATAAACTCAAAAGAAGCAAAATAAATGAAATAAAATCTGAGCAGAAGAAGAGATAAATAGAAAAATAAGGTGAGGTGACTGTTACTGAAATGAAGGTTCTTTGGGATGAACAGTAAAACTGAAACTTGGGAGTGGTGATTATGTTCACTCCCTTGATTGTGAAAGTCGTCTCGGTGTACATGTAGGTTGGAACTTGTGAATTTACACACATTCATACGTGGAGCTTGCTTTATGCTGGTTATTCTTCTACAAAGCAAAAGTTAAAAAGTGTGATTTCAATTCATAGCAAGTACATTTAGAAAAATAAACCTGGGTTAAAAGATGAAGAGCAGTGGACATGCCTGTAGCTAGTGTGTTCAGAGAAGGTGCTCTGAAGAAGTGAAATTTGAGTGAGATCTAACTGAAGTTAGGAGTCAGGTTATACAGGGTATTGTGTTAAACATGGGTGGGTAAGAGTTGGGATTTTATTTGTAGTATGAGGGCCAGCGAGATAGCTCAGTGGATTAAAGAGCCTGCTTTGTCAAGCATGGGGACCAGGGTTCGATCCCCGCTCCCACATGCCATGCCAGCCCCACCCCCGGGTCATGCTGAGCTGGCGAATGAGTCCAAATGTGGTGGCACATGCCTATAATGCCAGCGCTGGGGATGCTAAAAACAGGAGCATCACTACGAGTCCAAGCTGCATAGTGAGATCCTGTACCAAATACATAAATGGGGAAAAAAAAATTGTAGTATGATGAGAAGATAACTGAAGCCTTTTAAATTAGGAGCTAATGATCATACTTTCAATTTAATGTTTAATATTGCCATGGATATTGTGAGGGAAACTAAGAGCTAAAGCAGGGAAAATGGCTAGGGTGCTGTTGCAAATGGTGAAGCAAGATGATAGTTACTTGGGACTAGGGTAATAACAATGAAAATTTGTTTGTGTGAGACAGGGTCTCAAAATGTAGTTCAGTCTGACCTTCAACTCACTATGTAGTCTAGGCTGGACTATAGGCTGGCGTTTAACTCACTTATGTAGCCCAGGATGGGCTCTACTCACAGTGGGCCTCCTGCCTCAGCCTCCCAAGCGCTGGGTTAACAGGCATGAGCTCTTACACCTGGCTTCTAGGCTTGCCTTGAACTCTCAGGGATCATCCTTCAGCCTCCCAAATCTGGAATTACAGGCATGCACTACCAGTGGAAAAGAAAAATCTACACAGAAGAGACTAAAGGGATTTTAGTAACCACAAATTAGATTTTGGCTGCCCCTAACAGATGTTTCTGTTTTCTATGTTTAGCCAAGTACCAATAGTAAAAATTGTAACTATCCACTTACTCCCTACCCCAACTGGAAATGATCACATAAATGGAGTTATACCAATAAGCATATACTTTTCTATAATAGTATGGCATGCAGTTGAACTGCCTGCTATGTACATGTTTCATAAGGAAACCAACATATTTGCTGGTAGACTTTTAAGTACTATTCGTTACAGTATCTGATATTTAGGGTCATTCTAAATTTATCTGAAGCAGCAAAAAATTTTGATAGGAGGCTACTGATAATGTAAATTACTAACAAGGATAAATGAAAAACAGAATCCATTCTTAGTTAAAATGTTTTTATAACTTTGAAAGGCAAAATTAATATCTCTGTTTTCAAAAAGAGGTAAAAAAAAATCATGTTGAGTAGCTAAGATATGAAGTTTATTGTGTGATAGGCACTGTAAGTACTGTCTACATATTAGCTCACTTAATTCTATTAAGAACCCTGTGAAATAAGTTACTGTTCCTATTTTGGACCAGGAGATTTGGCTCCGAACCTTTGTTCTTTCTACAGTGCTAATTTGTTTTCACCAAAGAGCCTGTCAGTGACTTTTACAGTGTTACAGGGCACATTTTTTGATGTGGTTAGAGTTTGAACAAAGGTGCTCCTGAGTCACCGGCATGGGTTTACCGATACCATGTTACGCGCTTCCCCTCTGGTTCTGATAGATCAGTGAATGGCTTGTAGTAGCAAGCTAACCCTCACGTCCAGAACAGCTAGCCAAGCAGGATAAGTGTGAAACATAGTTTGTGGAAGGCATTGGAAAGTACCAAGATTACCAGGGTTTGAGAACAAAGTATAAAACTTGAGGCCAATACTCTTAGCTGCTTTCTTCTTAGGGCATTTACCATTTGTAAATGGCACAGGCTGAGAGGCAAAGACTAGAACAGGAAGTGTCCAGGAATAGGACAGAGAGCTAAGCAGAGCTAGTGGTAGTCTCAGGGTGCTGGAGAAATAAAAATTTCAGTGTAGTAGCAACAGGTGGCAAGACTGTTAAAGGACCTCACTTCAAATTGCGACCTCTGAGGGACTACACTCAAGGAGTGAGGATAGACTCGATATAGACCAGTCTTGTAAAGACCAAGTACTGCTTCTGAATAGCTCAATTTTTATTAGACTAATGTGGCACAATTCTAATTGCCAGAAGCTTAATTTTTTTTTCCTGAAAGAAAATAGTTTCATCCCAAGCCTCTCTTATTTTTCATATGCGGTGTCCACCTTTCAATTAAAAATTACCAAGCATAATTTAAAAAAAAAAAACGCAATAAAAACAGTTTTGTAGACAATTACCAGACTGGTAACTCTGGTACCAGTTTGATACCAGAGTTATCAAACTTGAACTTTAAAATTACCATGAAGGCGGTATATACTCCTTTAATCCTAGCCCTGGAGAGGCTGAGACAGGAAGATCACTGGAATAGATAGTAAGATAGACCTTGTTTCAGTTAATCAACTAATTGATCAATAAAATTACTGTGATCAGTGATTAATATATTTTAAAAAATAGAAGATAGGATATAGAGTTTAACCAGAGAACTAAGATATATAAAAATGAATTAGCCTCAGTGGAATAAGCACTTGCCTGGCAAAGCACAAGGTCCTGAGTTTGATCCCTGGTACCATCAAAAAAAAAAAAGAATTAGATTTAGATTCTGGAACTATAAAACATATTAACAAAGTAAGAATGCAGTTGATGCTGGGTGTGATGGCATATACTTGTAATTCTAGCTGCATAGGAGGCTGAGGCAGGAGGATCACAAATTGTTTTTATTAACTATAATCTTATTAGTACATATTTGTCGAACAATTAATCACATTCATAGGGAATTTTTACCTGTAAATAATATATCTGAATTATTTTTCCATTTTCCTCTCATCAATCCTTTTTCTTCTCATTTACACAAGCTTTGTAGGATCAAAAATTTGAGGGCAGCTTCAGCAATTTAGCAATAACGTCTCAAAAAAAAAAAGAGCCAGTTGTGGTGGTACACACCTATAGTCCTAGAGCTCGGGGAGGCTGAGGCAAGAAGATTACCTCATGTTCGAGGCACCTGGGCCACATAGTGGGATCTTGTCTCAAAAAGTAAAAATAAACCAGGTGTGGTGGTGCATGCCTGTAATCCCAGCACTTGGGAGATTGAGACAGGAGGAGCTCTGTGAGCACAAGCAGGCCTGAACCGCATAGAGAGACCCTGTCTCAAAAAAAGAAAGAAAAAAAAAAAAAGGATTGGGGATGTAGTTCATTAACAGAGCATTTGTCTTAAAGCAAGTGTGAGGCCCTGGATTCAACCTATAGAATAAGCAAGTGTGACAGATTTTACAGAGCTAAAGAGATTTTGACCTTATCTGAAAGATAAAGTCTGTAGACAATTCCTAGACTGAAGTCTGGAAAGCAAAAGATGGAAGCTGGATGCAGGGATGCATGCCCATTGTCTCAGCTGCCTGGAAGGCTGAAGCAAGGGGGTGACAAGTGGGAGACTGGCCTGGATGATGTAGCGAGACCCTGTCTCCAAATAGAAAGGACTGTCATGCAGTTCAGTGGAGCATCTCTGGATTCATTCCCAGGAACCTCCCAACTAAGAAAACAGAAAACAAAGAAAAAGCCATAAGAATCCTCTGAGATACAGGGAAAAGGTCAACTATATGTGCCAGTGGAGTTCCTACAATGGGGAAAGGGAGGGAATAAGACCAAATCAATATTTGAAATGTATCAGCGGATGAAACTTTTTTCATAATTTACTAAAGATTTCAATTGAAATTTTATAATCCTAATAGATCCTATATGGAGTTAAAAGTTCAGAGCTCACTTGCTCGCTCTCACTCTCTATTGCTCTCCCTCTCCCTCTCCTTCTCCCTCTCTCCCCCTTTCTCCCTTCTCCTCCCTCCTCCCTTTTGAGACAGAGTATCACTACGTAGCCCAGGCTGGCCACGAACTCATGGTGGTCCTTCTCCCTCAGCCTTCTGAGCACTGGGATTATAGGCATATGCCACCATACCTGGCTCAGAAGTTTTTCTTTTACCTAGGAAGTGGCAAAAGTAATCAGTTATGTTCCAAAATCTCATGTTATGTCATAATCTATAAATTAACCACTAAAAGAATAGTGGGTAGATGTACAACTGATGAGCAGTAGGGGGAAATTGTAATAATACAGAAAAAAGAGAACAGCAGAACAAGTGGAAAATAAAAGATGGTAAACTTTTACACAAATGTATTACTCAACACATTTATTGTAAATAGATAAAAATCAAACTGAAAGATAACAACTGTCAGAACGGGCTAAAGAAAAAGTCAGATATTGCTGGAGGTGAAGCGTGTGGCTGAGCAAATGTTTACCGTACACAGGGTGCTGGATTCAATCTGTAGCACAAGAAAATAAAAACAAAGGCACATCTGAGATATAGGGACATAGTAGAAAGTAAATGGAAAAAACCGTATCATGTAGTTATGCAAACATTACACAGAAAGACCGATATGGCTGAACTAATATCAGATGAAGTCTCATATATGGTAGGCAAACACTATATCCTCTTTCATTTTGAGGTAGAGTCTAATAAACAGATGTCCTGGCTGGCTCGGAACTTGTGATCCTCTTGCCTCAGCCTCCCATATAGCAGGGGATATAGGCATGTGCCACTCACTGAGTCTCTCAAGAGAATTATTTTGTAATAAGATCACTTCACACAGAAGATACAGTAATTCTACCTAGAACTGCAGCTACCTACATTGTTTCAAAATAGATAAAGCAAAAATGGTATTTTTTGAGGGGGGGTACTTTTTAGGACAGGGTATAACGGAGTGTACAGGGTCTCACTGTGTAGATCAGACTCTAGTGATCCTCCTGTTTACAGCCTCCTGAGTGCTGGGATTACAGGTGTAGTGCGCCACCACACCAATCTCAAATCCCATTTCAGCGGCCCCAGGGGTGGGGCTGGTACAGCAGGCCTGGGGATTGAACTCCTGGGTCCTATGTCTGCCTAAGCAGGTGCTTTAATCCACTGAGCTATTTGGCTGACCTTTTTTTTTTTTTTTTTTTGGTGGTACCAGGGTTTGAACTCGGGACCTTGTGCTTGCGAGGCAAGCACTTATTACACTGAGCTATGTCCCTGGCCCAAGTGTGTTATAATTAGAAGAACTAGACAAATCTATAGACATAGTGGAAGATTTTTAATACATCTCTCTCCAGCTGTGATAAAGCAAACATCTACCACCACCAAAATCAAAAGATGTACAAAACATGAACAAATCCCTAGTAAACATAACTTAGCTAAATGTCACTCTGTAGAATGCTAGGCTCATAAATGTTAATATGTACATTGTTTTCAAATGTACATGGGTCACTTACTGGCAAGATCATGGGCCATAAAGCAAGTCCCAACACATTTCACATGACTGAAGTTATACAGTCTATTTTTTTATGTTGTATTAAAATTAAGTTAGAAACCAATTATAAAAATGTTAAGACAGTGGCCGAGGAGATAGCTCAGTAGAATCAGCGCTTGCCTGGCAAGCACAAGGCTCTGAGTTCAATCCCCGGTACCGCAAAATAAATAAATAAAGCTTTCCAGATATTTGAAAATTAAAACCTGTATGTTTTATTCATTTTCCTTTTGTTCTTTTTGGTGCTGGGATTGAATACAAGCCTTCACATGTGTGAAGCACGTGCTTTCCACTGAGCTACGTGCCCAGTCTGTACATGTTATTTTATTTTCTTCTTTTTGAAACAGGATCTTGCTGTGTAGTTCAGGCTGGCTTGGAACTCACTGTGGAGCCCAGGTTGGCCTTGAACCCATGGCAATCTGCCTGCTTCAGATGCCCAGATGTTGGGCATGCAGTGTGTACTGCCATGTCCAACTTGTATGTTTTAAAGTCACAATTTAAAGCAGAAACATCAGTGGAAATTAGATGAATGATACTGAAAAAGCCTAGTATATCAAAACCTGTATGATATTACTAATAAATGTATTGCCTTAAAAAATAAGAAACCAAAATGTTATGCACAACTTTCTGTTAATGAGACAAAAATTTACATGAAATAGACAAATGCCTAGAAAGACTAACCAAAACTGACCAAAAAATGCAGGAAATTTGAATTTTTTTTTTTTTTTTAAGTTGTATTTAGTACAAGGGCTACAGTGTCTCACTGCGTAGATGGGACTCAGTGATTCTCCTGTTTTCAGCCTCCCAAGCGCTGGGCTCACAGGCGTACCACCATGCCCAGCCTCAATCACCCCCAAGGGCGGAGCTGGCACAGCATGCCGCGGATCAAACCCAGGCTGCTGCGCGCTGCCTAACCAGGCGCTTTGGTCTGCTGAACTATCTGGCCAGCCCTGAATAATGTTTTATCTGTGAAAGAAATTGAGTCTGAAATTTAAGTCTCAAAAACCATTCAGGCCAAGATGCCTTCATAATAAGGGAATTTTCTCAAATCTTTGAGGAAGAACTAAATTATCAGAGACTAGAAGGAAAAACATTTTGCAATTCATTTTGGAGGGGGGCGCTCAGCAATATTAGTATCTGTCAAGCTCCCCTTGATTATCAGATGTGTATCTTAGAGCTAAAATCAACCTCATAGCTTACTGTGTTAACAGTTCCTAAACACGTTTATTTTTTATGCCAGGATCACGCTACATCGTCAGGTCAGCCATGAACTCCTGGGCTCAGGCAGACTCTTCCAGCCTCGAGCAGTCCTCTTGCCGCAGTCTCCTGAGTAGTGGGAACATAGGCATATAATGCCATTCTAAACTAAACAGATACTAAATACATTTTGGGTTTTGTTTATTCTCTTTACTCAGTTCAACAGATAGTGGTAGTGGGATAAAAGGATCCATGGTGCTAAATTATTCTTTCTTGTATGTACACTGGTCAGTTGGCATAGGACAGTATTCTAAGAAGGAAAACAAATGAATAGTTTTTTTTTTCTCCACTCCCAACTCTGAAAACTGATAATTCATAGTAAAGTGTAACTTAACTTCTTTTCATGTTTTTTTCCCCTGCAGACTCCATTAATAATATACCTCTTCCATTTTCTAATTGACTATGCTGAATTAGTATTTATGGTAAGTAACCTTTCAGATAAAATCAATACTTATGTGTTAGTAATTTTATAGCTTGTTTTTAAGAAAAAATCTATTTTAATAATTTGGGAATGCTCAGAAAATAAGAATAAATACTACTGTCTTTAGCTTGAAATTGTGACTGGTTTTTGTTTTTTGGTTTGTTTATTTTATTTTTAATGTATTTAGTACAGGGCCTACAGGCTCTCACTACATAGATGGAACTCGTAGTGATCCTCCTGTTTTCAGCCTCCCAAGTGCTGGGATTACAGGCGCACACCACCACGCCCCATTTGTTTTTGAGACAGGGTCTCGCTATGTAGTTGAGGTTGGCCTGGACTTCTGTGTAGCCCAAGCTGGCCTCCAACTTGCAGCAGTACTTGTATGTCCACCTCCCAAGTGCTGGGATTACAGGAGCGCACCACCATGCCCGGCTGAAATTGTGGAACTATGGTAGTACAGAGGCGTAAGGAACGGTTTCTGATTTCCATCCAGTCCTAATCCTTATTCTTCTTTAGAATTTGGTTTCTGGACTACATAGTCTTGAATTTTATAACAACAAGATTCTGTGATATCCTTTTTGTCACTGTGGATATCCAGAGTTTCCTAAGTGCTTTGCCAAGAGTCCATAAAGAGGATATAGGCCTGATAAGACTTTCAGGGACACAAATCTTGAAAATAGAGATGACTGGGCTAAATTTTGAGATCCTGAAAGTCTAGGGTTAAAGAATTGTGTCAGGAAATACTCAGGCAGTCTTTAGAGGTTCTCCTTAATAATCAGATAGCTGCTATTTATTGAGGGCTTACCATGTGGTAGGCCCTGAAAATATATAAGGGTTGTAAAGCAGTGGATGCTTTCCCATTTTATAGAAATCTTAAGTAACTTGCTTTTTTTTTTTTTTTTGGTGGAACCAGGGATTGAACTCAGGCCCTTACACTTGCCAGGAAAGCGCTTATTCTACTGAGCCATCTTCCCATCCCCTAACTTGCAATTCTAGAGCAGATGAGGGACACCAGATTGAAGTGCCTCAGTAGATTCTTATCTCAGGGTTTTCCAGTAAGACCTTGCCTAATATCCATTCAGTGTGATTACTCAAGGTGAGGGTTAAATTTGTGTGAACTGGTGGTCCACCATCATCCCCGAACTCCAGGCCCTGGCAGCATCCTCTTGCTCCTGCACTAACAGAGATCTGTTTCCTATTCCTTGTCTTTCATTTGACAGATAACTGACGCACTCACTGCTGTTGCCCTGTATTTTGCAATCCAGGACTTCAATAAAGTTGTGGTAAGTAGTGAGTGGGTAGGACAAAGCTGGTGGAATTTGGTAACCCTCTTGTCTTTGTTGTTGCAGAGAATCAAAGGTCATGTACTTAAGAATACAACTGCTTTAAAATGCTCAGAAGTGGGAGTGAAGCTTCTGGTGACTCAGCCAGTCCTGGCATGACAAGTCCGGGCCCACAAGACAGCTTTACTAGTCCATACAGAAAGGTCAATTTAATCTACGTAGCTTATTAAGATTCACACAGCTGCAAAAGTTGAGACTTTCTAGAACAGAGTCAAATGACAGTGATATTAGTGAGATCCCTTAAAAATTTTCCATTCCTTTCTCCAGTTTTTCCTTTCAAAGGAAAATGAATAGAGCTTTTAACTCACTATCTTAAGCTTATCTGATATAAAATTTAATCCTCAGTGTTGATTCTGTTTCCTTGCAGAGTGACTTTGTTTTTTCCTGTGGTACTGGGGATTGAGCCCACACCTGTGCGTGTTAGGCAGCCACTCTACCACTGAACTGTACCTCCAGGCCCAAAAGAGTAATCTTAATTGGAAATTTTGACATGTATTAAATGCCTATTGAAATTCTTGATATAAGCCTTAGTCTTAATCCATATGTAATAGCCAAGGGGAATTGTGCACTGGAAATATCCTCCATTTCCTGAGCTCTGAGTGAGTTAACAATTTAACCATGTGTGCTGTCCATGTAGTTATATTTCATATTCTCTCTTTCACTCCTGCTCCTGTGCCTGCCCTCCTCCCCTCCCCTCCTGTGTGTGTGTGTGTGTGTGTGTGTGTGTGTGTGTGTGTATCTTGTTTTTTTTGTTTGTTTGTTGTTGTTGGTTTGGGTTTTTTTTTTTTTTTTTTTTGCTAGAGTCCTCTCTTAACTGGTTGGCAGCCACTGAGAGGATTTAGTCTGGGGTGAGACAAGGCTATATCTCATTGGCATTGCCTGTTTGTGGTGCATTTTCACTTCTGTTGTGGAGTAATACAAACAGAAATAGCACGTTGCCTTTCTGTGGCATTGGTCATCACTAACAAATAGGGCTGGTAAATTCTGTGATTTTTAAACCTCAGATTGTATCTAGATGGGGGTTCTTAATTTGGGAGTTAATTTATTGGTTTAATGTATCTATAAAACCTTTGAGATAATATGAAACATGTTAGTGTATTCTTCTCCCCCCAAAGTCCATAGCTGTTATTGGTTCTTAAAGAGTCTTTGACTCTTCTCCTAGATTATTATGAATTACACTTTAAAGGTTTAGTATCGCTAAAATCATCTGGTAGACATCTTATTAATGGAGCATAACTTAAAAATTTTAGAGACTGAGATGAAATGCTGCTGCAGGATTTCCTGTTACTGGTGAAATAACCAGGAGTGAGATTCATAGCCTGAGAAATTCAGAGATAAATTATCAGTAGCCAGTTTCTTCCCTAAGATAGATTGTACATGGGCCTTGAAGTGTGACTCTGTAGAGTCCTTCTTTAGCATGCACATGGCCTGTGGTTTGATCCCCAACATTGAGACAAAAAAACCTGCTGTAGTGACACATACCAGTAATACAGGAAGCAGGGGGATCTCAAGTTTGAGCCCAGCCTCAAAATCTTTAGACCCTATCTCAAAATAAATAATTTATAAAAGGGACTGGGAATAGGTCAGTGTGAAGGCTTTGAGTTCAGTCCCTAGTAGGGAGGGTGGTGGGAGGGATATAGGTTGTATATGGGGACCACAGTCTTTATTTTAAGTTATATAAGCTTAATGGCATATCTTTTTTCTTTTTTAAAAAAAGTTTTTGTTTCTATAGTTTATTATTTTTAATTTATTGAGACAAAGTCTCATGGGGCTGGGAAGATAACTCAGCAGTCTAAGCACCCAAGCGCAAGGACCCAGGTTTGATCCATAGCTCCACATGCCACGCCAGCCCTATTCTGGGCCCTCCAAGCTGCCACTGAAACAAGGTGTGGAGGTGCATGTCTCTGATCCCAGTGCTAAGGAGGCTGAGACAGGAGGCTCACTAGGAGTCTGAGCTGCATAGGGAGACCCTGTTCAAAAGAGAGAAAGAAAGAGACAGACAGGCAGACAGACAGACAGACAGAGACAAGTCTCACTGTGCTGTTCAGGCTGGCCTCAAAACTCACTGCAGGTCAGGCTGGGCTCAAACTCATGGCAGTCTTCCTGCCTCAGCCTCCCAAGTGCTGGGATTACAGGTGTGTACCACCACCCCTAGCCTCTAAATTTTTGAAATGAATTGACCAAAAAAAGTATGTGCAAGTGTATATGTGGTGTATACATAAAGAAATGTGGCAAAAGCTTAACAAGTTATTGCATTTAATTACTTAATGAATTATTTCAACTTTTCTGTAGTTTGAAATTCTTCAATATAAAACACTAGGAAAATCAATTTGTATATATTTATATGAGAAATGTATGATCTATCTGTCTAGGGAAGGGCTGGTAGCTTTCATTTAAAAATACAGTCTGTCACATCTTTTCAACCAAAGTGTAAAACTGAAATGTTTTGATGAAAAGGGATTACTGACAATAACGTCATGTCTATTTCTCCCTATACTTCTACATGTATATTTATGTGTGTATTTGTATTTTCCTATTCAGATGTCATAAAAATGCCTCTGCATCCCAAAGAAGGGAGTTTTGTTTTCTTTTGTTTTGTTTTGCAGTGCTGGGGATCAAACCCAAGGCCTTGTACATTTTTTTTTGTCTTTTGTTTTGATTTTTAAAAAATTTTTATTGAGAAATATGAATGAGATAGTTTCACAGCTGATTAATAGGACAGTTTTGATAATCAATACATTGTACATTGTTATCTTCTTAGTGGTTATCCATAATACAAGAAGCAGAGGGGCTGGGGAGATGGCTCAGTAGAGTAAGCACTTGCCTGGCAAACATAAGGACCTGAGTTCAATCCCCAGTTCCGCCAAAAAAAAAAAAAAAAAAGAAGCAGTCCAAACACTGTTAGTACACCTCTTTCTTCTCATTGAATTAAGTGAAAGTAGCTGTAAATTTATCCTATTTTGTATATATAAATACAAAATGATCTTTCCTTTGTATCCTTTTTTTTTTATTGTCTGTCAGCGGTGAATATTCTATTGGCATCTAAATACTATAGGTGTTTGGATTCAATTAAACAATCTAACACTGTCTAGCAGTCTATAATATTAGTGGGTTATCCTCAGAAGGTATTGACTTGAGCCTTTTACAGCTCATCACCTTGTACATGTTAGATGAGTGCTCTCCCACTCAGTTCTACCCTCAGCCTTAAAATTTTTTAATGTGGACAGGGATCTTAATGGGAAGTAATAAAAGTAGGCTTCAGTTAGTTTTCTAACAATGTTGGACTTCAGTGTCAACAGGAGAGATATATTTAGTGCCAATATTTTAAATTCAAGTATTGTTTGAGTTTATATAGAAACATTTTTCTTCCATTTTTGTGATTTAAAGCAGGAGAAAGAAAACGGAATGAATTATTGTCAGCATTTTTTTAAATACACCAAGATGTACTATTATCACCAAGTTTAAATTAAAATTTTGAAATCTTGTTTGATTACAGGGCTGGGGATTAAACCCAGAGCCTTTTGAATGCTAGACACTCTACCGTTAAGTTACATACCCAACCCAATTAGAATATTTTTGTTTTTACATTCTCTGAAATCACTATTAGAGCTTTAGATTTCTTGATCAGAGTAAAAGTCTTATTTATGCTATGTCAAAAATTAATTCATTCTAGGGGATGGGGAGATAGCTCAGTAGAATAAGCGCCTGCCTGGCAAGCACAGGGTCCTGAGTTCAATCCCCGGTGCCATAAAAAAAAAAAAAAAAAAAAATTAACTCATTCTATAGGGCGGTTTTGGCGCTACTATTATACTACAGTTGATTTAGACAGAAGACATCAGCAGATGTCTTCCTCTACACTTTGTCAGAAGCGTTCATATCATAGAGTCTTGGAAACATTTTAGTTCTGCTAGCCTTTGGGACTGTTTGGAGACAGGGTTTGGTTATGTAGTCCAGGCTGGCCTCTAATTCCTGGCAGTCCTCTTGCTTCAGCCTCCTGAATGCTAGGATTATCGGTGTACACCATGCCCAGCATATGAGACTTTTCATATTTGGTAATGAAGCTAAAACTTCACCAAAATGTATCCTTAAAAACTGATACAAAGGAGCCGGGGAGATGGCTCAGTGGAATAAGCACTTCCCTGGCAAGCGTAAGGGCCTGAGTTCAATCCCCAGTTCCGGAAAATAAAAACAACAAACCCTTGTACAAAGGAGGCTTCACTTCTCCCCACTGTCATTGTCAGCCTGTGGAGTATGAATGCTGATGAATGGTGACCAATTAAGCATCACGATGGCTTACATCTACCTCAGCAAAGCAGTGTTAGTGTTAGTCTAGTCTGTTCTTTGCTAATGATGGTGCTTCTTATTTGGAACTCAGAATTTTAGCCACATTTTTGTCTCTAGATACAGTGGGGATTTTTACAACAGGTTTTGTCTATGCTAAAAGGGCTGATATTGGGCCTATAAGGCCAGCCGTAGTCTTGAGACTGAGGGAGACAAGAAAGAAGAGGACAGAGAATATGGGGACTGCTCATCTCCCTTTCCTTCCTGGTGACTCCCCTGTCAGAAAGGCTTTCTGGTTTGAAGTACTGTGTTTGAAAAGATTGTAGCCAGCCTTTTCCTTCTGCTGCTAACCCAGGGCCCCCTTTGTCTAGAACCCAACACATCCTGGTGGCTTTTCTCCCAGTGCAGCCCTGCTGGCTGGCTTCTGACCTGGAGAGTGGGTCCCTAGTCTCACCTGTAGCTCTGCTGCTCCTGGAGGAAATCCCTGTTTCCTTCTAATGGCCTTCTTTGTGGCTCTTGCCCCTACAGGTGACCTTGCAGCAGAACTCTTAGCTAGGGGCTTCCTTCCTCCTACCATTGCTTTTTTTTTTTTTTTTTTTTTTAATGTATTTGGTACAGAGGCTCACTACTTAGTGCAGATTCATAGTGATCCTCCTGTTTTTAGCTTCCCCAGCACTGGAATTATAGGTGTGCACCACCACATCAGGTCTCAGTGGCCAGCTCAGCCCAGGAGTGGGGCTGGCACGGCCACATGATGCTGGGGATCGAATCCTGATCCCTGCACGGGCCTAAGCAGGCACTTAGTCTCTGAGCTATCTCACCAACCCTCTGTAAGTGCTTTGAGGGTACATTCAGCTTCCTGTTCTGATATAGCACTTTACGATGTAGTTTGTCTTTTTAATTAACCTGAGCTCTGAGTGGCACCATAAATCTTACTGATGATTATCTTTACTACCTAACCTAGACTCTGCCAACTGTGAGAACAGAGAGATGATCAAAGGGAAGTTTTTGAAGTTTGTTTCAGGTTTCTGATTGCCTCTGCCTAAACCTATGCAAGTAGCCTAGGACTACTGATACTCCTATTGATGACCTCTTGACCGTGTGTGTGTGTGTGTGTGTGTGTGTGTGTGTGTGTGTTACTAGGGATTGAACCTAGGGTTTTTACACTGAGCTACCTTCCTAGACTTTTTTTTTTTTTCTTCTGCATTTTGAGACAGTTGCTAAGTTGCCCAGGCTGGGCTTGAATTTAGCATCCTCCTGCCTCAGCTTCCCAAAGTGCCAAGGTCACAGATGTGCATCACCACACCTGTCTATGTCACATACTTGTAACTTTACAAAAATGGTATAATGCAGTATGTCGTCTGTTGTGATCTGCTTATTTCATCGCTAAATCTTTAATCATATACATAGTTAGACACTTGTTACTTTGGCTTTTCTAAAATACTCTTAATGGGGCACAGACTTGGTTTTGTGCTATCTAATTATTCTTTGATCATTAAGTCAGCAGAACTACCATTTAGGATTCCCGGGCCTTTTCTGTCCATATTGTGACCCGTGTTTGCTTGTAAGGTTGCCTACCTCTTGGGGCGCACCCATGAACTTGTTGGGGCACATCAGGGGAAGGCAGGAACTTTCCACCCCTACCCATTGCATTTCAGTTCTCAAGCTGCCTGGCCACCCTTAGCTCTCCTCTCTCTCCTTATCATGACCATTTTAGACCTCTTCTGTGGAGGTAAAAAACTTGAGGCAGGAGAATAAAGCAGGAAGAACCTAAGATACCATGACATTTGAGATCATTCTCCTTTACTGATGGAATTTTTGAGTCCTAAGACAACTGACAATAACTGAAGAATGGCTGAAAACTGGCTTTGCAGCTCAGTCCTTCATTCAGTCACTCAGCAGATCTTTTTGTATTTTTGAGTCAGGGTTTCACCCTGTAGCCCAGGCTGGTCTCAAACTCACAGGGACCCTCCTGCCTCAGCTTCTGGAGTGCTGGGATTACAGGCATGCTCCACCACTCCTGGCAGCAGACTTTTATTGCTTGTCTACTGCGCGAGGTGTTAAGACATTTGTGGTGACCAAAAATACGGTTCCTACCTTTGTGGAATTTGTGGGCTAAGGAGGATGGCAGGCATTAGTCAGCTGCTTAAATGAAGAAGTTATAATGTGAACAGCACTCTGAAATGATATGCATAACGAGGAAGTTGGCCCAGTTGGAGGCCAGGAGGAAGGGTGTTTCTTCCTGCGGCAGTGATGAGCTCTAAAGTCTGTGTGGGCATCAGCCATGGCGAGCGAAGCGGTCACACGCAAAGGCCTGGGAGCAGGAGGAGCGGGTGTATTCATGGTGCCAGAGCTCAGAAAGTGGGAGGCTGGGGGAGCAATTATGAGATGAGCTGAAGAAGCAGCTGTAGGTCATGGCAAGGTCTTTGTCACCCTGAAAACAAGGGGAAATCATTTTGTTTTTGTGTGCTTTGTCATTTTTTTTTCCAGTTTAAAAAGCAGAAGCTTCTCCTAGAACTGGATCAGTATGCCCCAGATGTGGCTGAGCTCATCCGAACCCCTATGGAAATGCGTTACATCCCTCTGAAAGTGGCCCTCTTGTGAGTATTCTCTGACAAATTAGGGGTGACGTGTGCAAGGAAAATCTGATGTAACTTTCCCATGTTGTTTGCTGTATTCAGAGAGACATGTAGTCTCAGTCATGAAGTATGTGCTGGGGTTCTGTTGCACAACTGGAGTTGGGCCAGCACGAGAGACAGAGCCACTCTGTCTGGTGGGACAAAGATGCACACAGGGACATGCACAATCAGACCCTTCACAAATGCTTTTTGACTTGGTGCTGATCTGGGCTCCAACCTACTTGTAACCAGTATTTCTTTTTATGAGACAGGGTCTTACCATGTAGTTCAGACCAGCCTTGAACTTACTATGTAGCCCAGGCTGGTCTTGAACTTGTGGCGATCCTCCTGCCCTCAGCCTCCCAAGTGCTGGGATTATAGGGATGTGTTATATTACAGGTAATATAACCAGTATTTCTTTAAGGAAAAAAAAAAGTGTCTTCACTGGTGATACATGAAATGAATAAAATTCTTATCTTTCAGTGGCTCTTATTTTAAGCAGTGTCAATGTTTTATGTACAACCTAATACCCCATTTGTAGTTTAGAAAACTGAAATAAAATGATAAATATACCTATTCCAGTTGGGTGACCAGGGGCCTGCCCCGTAGTTCAGTTGTTTAAGTGGCTGCTTCAACAAAGCAGTCAGGCTCAGGTTGCTGTGGTTCGATCCCCACAGCTCCAGCCAGCCAAACCTGCCCTGAAGGCATTTGGAGCCAGCCAAAAACAAATCCTTCGGCCATTTTTCGATTTCCAGTTGGGTGACCAATGTGGAAGTGTGAATATTATTTTGGCACTGTGAATAAATTCTTTAGGAATACCCAGTGCTGCCAGTAAGTTTAATTCTTTCAGGTTATTTCAATTTATATTCCTGAATTAGGTAAATAGGAATTACTATTCACAGTAGTTAACTATAGTCATTGAATATGTTGGTTTCTAGGGATACATAGTAAGCAAAACAGACAAATTTCCTTATCAAAAAACATGCCCTTAGAACTCATCAGAATTAGAAGAGGCCTTATGAGGCATTTATGCAGCTTCCTACCTTGTATGTGAATTTCAGATTGGTGTCTTTTTTAATATTAGGGGGTTTTTGTTGTTACTGTTTTTTGTTTTTTGGGGGTTTTTGGGGGGGTCTTTTTTGAGATAGGGCTTCTTTCTTTCTTTTTTTAAAATGTATTTGGTACAAGGTCTCACTGTGCAGCTCGGACTCATAGTGATCCTCCTGTTTTCAGCCTCCCCAGCACTGGGATTACAGGTGTGTGCCAACGTACCACCCCCAGTCTCAGTGCCCAGCTTAGTGTGCTGGGGGCAGCATGGCATGTGGTACCAGGGATTGAACCCTGGTCCCTGCACTTGCCTAAACAGGTGATTAGAACACTGTGCTATCACACTGGCCCTGAGGTAGGGTTTTGCTATGCAGTTCAGACTGGACTTGAACTCACTCTGTAGCCAGGTTGGCCTTGAACTTGTGGCAATCCTCCTGCCTCAGCTTCCCAAGTGGTGGGATTACAGGCATGTACCACCATGCCCAGCTGAATATTACCTACTTAAAAATGGCTTGGTTTTCCTCCCACTGAGCAATTTTAAGAATGTCAGTCCATATCTATGTGTTTGTAAATATAGAAGGGAGCTACTTTACTTTAATAGAACCAGAGGTTTAGCAATATGAGTGTTTTTGGACTCATGCATCTCCTGTGGCAGGGTTTTTTTTGGTTTGTTTGTTTTTTTATTTTTTTGTACTGGGAATTGAACATAGGGCCTTCACACTAGATAATTCCCATCCTTTAAAATTTGTGTTACTGTTGTTATTTTAAGATTGGTTCTTGGCCAGCCAAATAGCTCAGCAGATTAAAGCGCCTGCAAGCAGGCACAGGGGCTGGGGATTCGATCCCTGGACCTGCCAATGCTGACCCTGCCCCCAGGGCTCACTGAGATAGCAATTGAGACTGAGCATGGTGGTGTGCACCTGTAATCCCAGCTCTTGAGAGACTATAAACAGGCGGATCACAACGAGTCCTATCTAGTTGTGAGACCCTGAACACTCTGTAGACCCTTCCCTAAAATACAAAAAAAAAAAAAAAAAAAGATTGGTTCTTACTAAGTTGCTCAGGCAGGGCTCAAACTTGTAATCCTCCTGCCTCAGCCTCCCAGAGTGTTAGGGTTACAAGTGTGCTACCCTAACTAGTTTCTGGCAGTAGCTTTGTAATGACCACAGTCATTTCTTTAAAGGTTGTGTAATAAGCTTATCTATAATTGCTGGGGTAAAAACCAACAATTTTTTAGGCCTTTGGCTTTAGAACTGCTAATCCTGCAGGCCAGGGAGGTACTAGACTTAAGGTCTTTGTGAATAATAATTATAATCTCTTCCTAAAACACTAGTATGTTTCTTCCTATATAGTAATCAAAATTATGTAACTGACTTCCCTTTTAGTTTGTCTGGCATGAAACTCAGCTGGAGTTGAAGCTGTTTATTATAATGCTGAAGAAGATCTGTTTGGTCTTTCATTTGCTTTTACTTTCTCCTTTTATTTTTCCCCAGGTTTTGATTATTGCTATTTTTACTTTACTATTTTTGTTATCTGTTCTCATTATAGCTGCAGCAAATCATTTGTAGAAGCAGAATAGAAATAAAAATAATCCATTGAGATTATGTAAGATTTCCAGCTCACAAGCATTTCAGATTCATTTTCTCAGCCCATTCTTTCCCCCCTCAGAGTGACTAAGTATTCTGGCTTGTCTCCTTCCTAATGGAAGGTCCAGGTGTTGTGTGAAGTTACGCAGCAACTGGTTTGTTGAATTCAGTGGACACTTACCCTGCCCACGGGCTGCAGCTCAGTAAAAACCACTTGCCTACCAAGAGGCTAAGTAGGTGGCTTTAGAGCAAGAGAGACCTGCTTCTGAAGGTATTCATTAGCTGTGAGACCTAGATTGGATTACTTAGTCCAAGTCTGAGTTTTCTCTTTTGCAGAACTGCAAAGTTAGTGCACTCTGTGATGATTGGGTGTGATGATTTCTCACGTACCGCACAGCACAATGTTCAGTACCTTTTACTTTTTGATACCCAAACCCTACTCTGGTCCCTTTTACTTGGGAGAACTCATTTCTAAGAAGTTGCTTTCCTTGGAGTACACTTTTAGAAAATCTCTGGACTTCCTAGCCAGGACTCCCTGGTCCACTGGCCAGGATTACTAATGCTGAATGTGTGTGTTCTTCCCCAGCTATCTCTTAAACCCCTACACGATCTTGTCGTGTGTTGCCAAGTCTACCTGCGCCATCAACAACAGCCTTATTGCTTTCTTCATTTTGGCCACGATGAAAGGTAAGGCCCTGAAGCTCAGTCCCTGATTTATGCAAGGTTTGTAATTTACTCTTTCAAGAAAAAAGAGTAGCATTTAATATATTTTAAAATGGTACAAGTAATACAAGGTTATTATAGAAAAAGTAGAGAAGCTGGTGGGGGGGCAGAGAATAAAATGTTTTAAAAATCTCTTTGAAGGGTTACTTTAAAAAGTTCTAAAAGCTTTATACCAAGAATAGCAGTTTTATGCAGTTCTCTTCCTATCCCTAGAGTTTAGCTTCTTGGAAGCAGCTACTTTCCGGCTTTGGTGCTACTTACTTTGTATTTCTTTTTCTTTTTTTTTTTTTTTGGTGGAACCAAGGATTAAACTCAGGCCCTTGCACTTGGCCAGGCAAGCGCTTATTCTATTGAGCCATCTCCCCAGCCCTTACTTTGTATTTCTGAATAATAATTTATACTGCTGTTTCAGGAAGAACAAATTTTTTAAATTATTATTATATTTTTAGGAATACATTTTAGATATCATTACATTCCTGTCATGGAAAGTTAAGGTTTATCTCTGTTATACCAGAATCTTACTTCCACTTTGCCTGATGTTTCTATAGTAACTTTATCACAGTTTTGATTGAATCAGCAATTGGGGCTGGGGTATAGCTTAGTGATAGAGTGTGCCTAGCATATACAAGGCCCTTGGTTCAGTCCCTAGCACAAAGAAAAAATAAAAAATAAGTTTTAAATAAAATGTGTAGCCAGTGCCGATATTTTATAATACTTCATGTATGATTCCCTGCTGGGCAGAGTAGCAACTATGATTCGTATGTCCTTTTTATTCAACCTTTTATTTTAGAGATTAAGATTATCTTTTGCTTGTTTAGGTTTTTTTGCTTGTTTTATTTTGTTTCGATGTTTTTTTCTCATTCTCCTAGATCTATCAGGTATTGTTTTTCAAAAACACTTAAGTACATCAAGTAGTTTATCAGTTCCATTATTTTTCTAGAGACTTCTAACACATATTCTCTTTTCTGTTCCATTCTGTCCTGGTTATTCCCTGTCCTAGTGCACAATTGTACTGGAGCTTCCCTTTATAACTCACTTATACTGTATTTCTTCTAGATTCCATCTTTTCTTTTTCTCTTGCTTTCCTTCCTCGCCAGGGAGATGGCTCAGTAGAATAAGTGCTTCTCTGGCAAGCGCAAGGACTGAGTTCAATCCCTGGTTCCGTCAAAAAAACAGTAGGGGCCTTCTTGTTTTCTTTCCTCTAGTTGTTTTCTAAGAAAGGGTTATGAGAAAGGTATTGCAGCCTACTGTGTCTGGAAAATATCCTTGTTCTGGTGTAACACCAAATTAATAGTTGGGTGGAATAAGAATTTTAGATTTTCTTTTTTTTTTTTTTTTTTTTTTTTGGCCAGCTCAGCCTGCCCTAGGGGTGGAGCTAACGCAGCATGTGGTGCTGAGAATCAAACTGTGGTCCCTGCTCTTTGCCTAAACTTGCCTAAGCAGGTGCTTTAGACCACTGAGCTATCTCACTGGCCCAAGAATTTTAGACATTCCTTTGCAATTGTGTAGATGTTTAATTCTCTTCTTGGTTTCATTCTAGCATCTTGGTTGCTGTTGGGCAGTTTGATGGCAGTGCATTATAACCTGATTTTTCTTTGGCATTACATTATAGTCCAGTTTTTCTTTATGAAAGAGTTATAATTTCCTTTTATCCTTAGTGTTTTGAAATTTCATGCTTTTTTTTTTTTATGTATGTGGTACAGGATCTACAGGGTCTCACTACATAGATGGGACTTGTAGTGATCCTCCTGTTTTCAGCCTCCCAAGTGCTGGGATTACAGGTGTGCTCCACCACACCCAGTGTCAATCACCATCTCAGGGAACCCCGGCAGCGGGACCTGCACGGCACGCCAGGGATCCAACCCTAGCCACTCTGCTCTGCCTAAACAGGCTCTTTAGTCTATTGAGCTGTCTGGCCAACTCTTCATGCTATGTTTTGGCATAGTTTTTTTTTTCACGTGTTATGCTGGGTACTTGGTTCTTCCAATATGGAAACTAAATTTGTTCTAGAAGTTGCCCCTATCCTATACTTGAAACTCTTAAGATTTTTTCTGTTCTCTTGTTTTGGGTGCTGCGCTTTCTTGCTTGATCAAATCAAATATGTAGGGGCCGGGGAAATAGCTCAGTAGAATAAGCGCTTGCCTGGTAAGCTCAAGGGCCTGAGCTCAATCCTCGGTTCCACAAAAAAAAAAAAAAAAATCAAATATGTATTATATTTTTTACTGATCTTTTTCCCACCTTTTTTAAAATTATTTTTTTTCTGAGATATTTCCTTGTTTATAGCTTCTATCTGTGGTTGAAATTTATTTATTTGTTTATTGATTGAACCCAGGGTCTTATATATACCAAGGAATGTGGTCTGCCACTGAGCTTTACCTAGGCTTTTTAAAAATTTTATGTTGAGACGAGGAAGGCCTTGAATTTGGGATTCTTCTGCCTCACCCTCACTAGTAGCTGGGATTATTGATATGTTTCCAACTCACATTTAGTTTTTGTCTTCCAAGCATGATCTCTTTTGTCTTTCTGGTACTTTTTTGGTCCCTTTCAGGTAAAGAGTGGAGAGCCTAACTGTTTATATTCAGGATTGAGACAGTAAGCTGCTACCTGGAGATTGTGTCGGGGCACAGCTTGCTGGTGTATTATTGTCATTGTCAGAGATTAGGTGGTGGACTGGTCTTGTTTGTTGGAGGCATCTCTAAATGGAAGTATCAGTAGATTTTCTCTGAAACCATTCTGTTATTCCAGACAGGAGTCCTCCAGTTTCCTACCTAGGGGGAGCAGAGGTGGGGTGGCTGATTTCAATCTATGGATTGTCACTGATCTTACTATTTTTTTGCTCATACTTAACAGTCTGATACTGTGTTTCAGTCTACAGCCATGCCACCCTGAACGTGCCCGATCTCGTCTGATCCTGTGCTTCATATTCCTAGACCTTTGCTTCTTTAGTTCCCTTTCTCTGGAACTTTGGTCTCTTGAACAGATACTACACAGAGCTGGGGGATATGTACTTACTTGGGTGCCCATCACTGGGATAAAGCCCATGGTTCTCATTGATCTATGAACATACTTTCAATTTTTGTTTTCTTTTTGGTACTGGGGATTGATTGATCCCAGGCCCTCTAGCATCCTGAAGCAGGCACTCTACCACTGACCTGTACTGCGAGTACTGATTTTCCTATCTCTGCCTTACCCCTAGCTTTCATAGTACCTAACGCTGCAGGTGCTGAATTTCTTAGAAGTTGTATGGGGTATGTTGGCCTGATTTTATTAATATTCCTTGGGAAGGCCACTTAACTGTAATTTCCTCCATATTTCTATTTTCATTGCCTTTATGTTTTCCATTTTTGTGTTAAAATATATTTGCTATACAGCACCTGCCTGGCAAATACAAAGTCCTGAGTTTGACTCCTGGTACAAAAAATATTTTTTTTTGCCATAATCACTTTTGTTCTTTATAATTTAAAACTAGTTTTATTCCCTCCTTGTCATTTCAGTGAGGTTTCTGTAGGGGAGAGATAATATACACATGTCATTAGTCTACCATTTTAGCTGCAAGTCCCTCCAATAGTATTTGAGTTATGTATTTCCAGACTCTTCCATCTACCATATTTTTCTTCCAGACTTTGAAACTTTATATCAGTTAGTTAGTTTCCCCCTCCACATACATACTCTGCTCCCATGTTCTTTAACAAACTACACCAAAACTCAAGCGACTTAGAACCGCAGCAAACATTTACTTAACCCATACCTATAAGTCAGCTAGGGGTCAGGCGATCCAGGTTGGCCATGGTTAGTCAGTTGGCTGATTTTACTGTGGTTCATTCATTCAACAAAGGCTAGCTGGAAGTGAATAACCGAGGCTGAGCCTGCTCCACATTTCTGTCTCCTTCTGGATGAGGGGACTGATTTAAGCATGTTCTTGAAGCCACACCAGACCCGCCCTTAAGGCAGCCTGAGCCAGCCCCCAGCCCCCAAAAAGTCATGCTTTTTAGAGTAGTAGGACTTCTCTCTTACATTTTCTAGTGTGGCACAGGACTAGACCTTTGTAAGTTATTGCTTGTCTTGAATTGGTTATGGATGGTCTTTCTAGAGGTGAGTGGTGGTCACTGTGGCACACTGTACCATATTTTTCTTTTAAGACAAAAGGTATTAATGTAGAGTTGTTTTTTTCTAAATTAAACCTAAGTACTCAGGTTTAATTGCAGTGTTGGGACTTTCTGATAAATAAGTGGGTTTTAGATTACAGTTTGGCACTGAAGTCTGTAGCCATCATTGCTACAATTTATTATCAGGTTACTTAAAAAGACTAAGGGGTTTTTGTTGTTGTTATATTTTGTTTCTAGCTTTTTTGAGACAGGGTCTCACTGTGTAATATAGTCTGACCTTAAACTCACTGTAGCCCAGGCTAGCCTTGAGCTCATGGCGATCTTCCTGCCTCAGCCTCCCAGGTGCTGGTATAACAGGTATGCATCACTGCACCCAGCAGAATGACTAGGTATTACATAAACTGAATTCCCTTATCCTAAAGGTTGTAGTCATTTTGTCAGAAATGGCTCTGAATTAGTGAAGACTCCTCAATGTCTGTGACTATTCCTTGCCTCAGTGCCTGTCTCCAGAGTGTCAGAGGCACTTGTCAGAGGCCTGATGTTCATTAAAATGAAGAATGAATATGCTGCATCCTGGCAGAAGGGACTGAGCACTTGCTTTTGGAAATGTCGTGGTTGTACTTTTTTGTTTTTGAAATGGTAGTCTCATGGTGTGGCCCAGGCTGCCCTTGAATTCCTGGGTCTGAGCGGTCCGTTTCCTTAAGACTACAGGTGCTCACTCACTCCCGTCTCAGCACTGGAATGTCCTTTTAAAGAGCTGAGCAGAAAAATAGGCTGAAGAATGCTCTGTGAAAGTACAGGAAAGGACTGTCATGCAAGAAATGTAAAAGTGCCCCCTCCCTTTTTTTTGCAGTACTA